GAAGAAGGGCAACAACTTCCTCTTGCTATCGGATAGAATTAGGAAGAGAGAAAGAGAGAGAGAGAGAAAGCAGGACTAGCCAATGACTAGGAGAAGGAGGCTTGAATATCAATTGATCCATAAGCGTCCACAAACATAATACGTGTGTCAGCACAACAAGATCTAAAGCTTGGTTATATATGTATAGAAATGGCTGTGACCACATACATATATTTTGTATGTTTTAATTTGACCCATTTGCAAGCATGTAGGGTAAGCAAGGAAGAATCCAACAAAATAATGCTATGCCTGATTGAGACCAAAGATTTAGGTATAAGAGGAGATTTGTTTAAATTGTGTATATGATGATTTCTGGATATTTCTGTCTGCCACTAATAAGCAATCGAAAGGTCAGCACGGATACATCGGGGTCAAAGGGCAGTGTGCCTTGCGTCTCGTCAAGCAAATCCGCAATCCCGATTTCAAAGCATTTCTCCTTCCTCTTAAGTAGAAGCCAATATGCAAATATCTTCCACTCGTATTTTTAATGTAAACTATAAGCACTCAACAGGAAATCCCGTGCTCTTCATTAGACTTGATATGCTACTAATTTAGCAGTTTGCGAAAGTTCCATTTCACGGTCGGCATGACTTTGCTTACTGCAGTTTGACTCGTGCCGAGGGTGCCGAGAAGGTGATTAGGGAAGTCGAAACAGCGGTCGAGTCTGGATGAGAATCAACTGCAAGACTCAAGCCTGCTCTGCAATTCCTCCACAAGCCTCCCCGATAGCTGGAATGTATCCCATTTCAATCTCATTAAGTGATGAAGGACTTTGTCTGATGCTGATTTATTCGTGTTGAAAGTCGCATAAATTGGACGTACGAACAGACAGATGGATAGCTGAGTGGAAGGACGGTTGGACGGATGGGCGGATGGATTGACGGACATATTGACAAGTGGACGGACAGATGAATGGATTGGTGAATGCATCTACAGACAAATGGATGGACGGATAAAAAAAGTCGATCAGTGGACAGATGGGTTGGAGCATGGATGAACGGATAAGTGGACGGACGGATGGACTGATAGGCAAGTAGAGATATAGACGGACAAGTGGATGAGTGGACGAATGAGGAGTGAACGGATGAGAGATGAACGGATAAACGGACGGATGGACATGAGGATGAGGGGTGAATGGATAGCTGGACAGATAAACGGATGGGTGGGAGTGTGAATGGATGAATAGCCGGCTGGGGGGAGGGGGTACCTAGATGGACAGATGAACGAGGATGGCTGGGTGGATGGATGATTGGGCAGATGGACGAATGGGGGTAGGTACGTCCGTAGACAAGTTATCTGCTAATCCGGGTCAGGTAGTCGGTACATCCAGAATGCGGGCATTGCACAAATAAACTCTTTAATTACGGCAACACGGAGCAGAAGGTTGGTATTCCCTAGTCTTCAAAATGCAACTTCTTTCACGAGATGGTACCAATGTGCCTCGGCGAATCCTCGAAAAGCCCATTTCTGCTGCATTTCTCAGCATCACAAGGTGGCATGAGAAATAACGACTGGCGTGCATGCTAAAACGATATGAAAAAGTTGACACAGCATAGGACATCTGATAAGCTCTGATCTCGCTTCCAGATCGGCTTTGGCGCTGCCAGAGTGAGGGTATTAACGACGAGCCAACCGGCCAAGCCCCTACCCACGGGCGCGCCCCATCTCTGAAATGGGCAAGCCCATGACCCGAAGATGGGCTGACCCAGGCAAACACCACGGCATTATGGGTCAGATCTCGTATTGATAAGATTAATGCTGGGAATAAGGCCTATAAAAAGGGGCAAATAAAGACATGGGAAAAAGAGCGTCCGAAGTCTAAGTTGAGCCAGGTGTGAAGATAAAGTGGGCTGCCAAAACTCCCTTAATAGACTAATGTTTTTGCACAGCAAAATTGGCGAAATTTCTACCGGAAACCCTGTTTGGTGAATTTTCACTAATAATGGATCCTGGCTTAGGAGGCGTCTGTCGCATGGCAGGTGAAAGCTCAACACACATTCATCGGGACACCATGACTGTGTGCAGAGTACTTATATGAACAAATCTAACCGCGTAGTAACCTTTTTATGGTAATCAGCGCGGCCAATTTCAAGCAAAATAATGATACAGCAACATCAATCAGGCCAAACCTTACGGGATTAATCAATTTTCGCTATGTGGAATTAGTTTGATATCGTTTCTGTAACATGTATGCATTTTGTAGAAGACTTAGAAGAGCCTGGAACCAATTAGCAGAGCCCTTTCGCCTTGTTTATCAATCTTTATAGCGATTTAGATCATGGGTAAACAAATAAAGTTACGCTACTATCATCGAAGTCTACCAGAAAACCGGATCCAGTTACGAAAAGTGGATTCAACTGACCTCTTTTTACGTTTGACAAATTTCGTCTGGTCGAATAGATAGTT